TCACTGGGACGCCGTTAACTAGAGCTTTAACGTATAATGGCCTCAGGTGTTTTGTCAATTTCATGGCTGGCCATTTAAAAATAACCTTTTCGGCAGCCTCTATTTCTACCTCTTGCTTGTTTTCTGTCGAATTATCTCCTTGTGATAAGTCGACGTGCAGTATGTCACGCTGATCCTCTGTCTCCTGAACTTCCTTCTTACTTTTTTCTAATGCTTCCTCATCAGTTATCCAACCTGTGGGAGGGGGCATTATCCTTTGGAGGTGACCCATACTTTTCAGAGCGAGGTACTCTCTTCTTCCTTTTGGGTGTCCCGTATAGTACGTAGAAATCGAAAAGACGCCCAGATGGCTCCCCCAACAAGTCTACTTCGCGAACTCCCTCTTGATGTAGTTGCTTAAACAGAGTATTACGCGATACTCCCCTCTTTTTCCTTTCTGCTTCTAGGTCGATTTCTTCTTCAATGTCTGTCATCCCATCGTCCTCTTCATCGTTGTAGGCCTCTCCAGAAGTCTGGCCTTTTTCACATACCAGCACGCAGGCTTCTCCTTCGTTGTCCTCCCTCTCTTCTTCCTTTTCCTTATTCTTGAATTCATTGGCCAGTAGGTAATTATTGGCCACGACTGGAGGCAACGTACTGAATTGGATAGTAAGGGGCTGATCTAGATCTTCTTCATCCCTTTTGTCCCTCTCAAACCTTGATCTCCCAGAAGAGGTTTCTGGCAGTTCCTTCATTGATTCGTCTGTACCAGTCTCTTTACTACCTTTGAGGACGTTTTGATTGGCTACCTTGAGTAGTAGAGGCACTTTAGGATGTGACATTCCTTGTTGCTGCCTCATCATCCGTCCGTAGTTTCGTTGGAAACGCCTTTGTTGGGTCCTAGTCATCTCATCGAAGGGTATTGCTCTTCCTGCACTGTACTGGAATGAATGCCATACATTTGGCCGGCGAGGTTGCGGCCTAAATATTCTTCCAGTATCTGCTGGTCTGAACTGCCTTTCAAAAGGCGATCCTCTATAGAATGATGTACCTCGCCCTCTACCAGGCTGAATGTTTGGGAAGAAGGCAGGGTGATGAAGATGCTGCCATGTCCCTGGTTTCTCCGTGTCTCCATTTACTTCCCTTCTACACCTTGCACACAGGACGTTTTCGTCCTTTTTTGGTTCTTTCCCTTTGATTCGTTCGAAGACACTGAGATGTGTTTTAGTATCCTCTTCTTCATCGTCTATGACCAACTTGAATTTTGGCAACTTGTTCTTGAATCCAAATGTTACCATGTTTACCCCAAGTGGCTGTGGGAAAGGATTCTCGTCCACTGCCATCTTTTTCTTATCATCGAACGTAATTTGTCCTAATTCAATGACATCCTGCAATACGTGCTTATCGCTCAGCTTTATTTGCTTATCCCTATATAATTTATCGAATATAAGGTCAGCTTTGGTCACATCGAACGAGAACATTCTAGCCTTTATGTTTCCATCCTTTATGGGCTCATCTTTGCCCGATGGTCTAGGCTTGGCCATTATGGGACAAGTATATGTATCCCCTTTTACCAATTCGGCCAAACACATTTCGGCCTGATCGTATGATTCGTCGTCGATGGTATGAACGTCAAAATTTGGGTCTCTGTAATAAGTCCCTTTACTAGAATTTTTCATTTGTTCTTCTTCTCTTATCAGTCGCTCATACCTAATCACATTCGCACTCAACTGAAAAAGGTCAGGAAATTCCTTGTCCTGGAACTTCTTTTTTAAATCAAAGCTCAAGCAGTCTTGTGCGATCTTGACAAATTCTTTTTCGGGCAGAGGTACAAAACACTTGCTTCTTGCTATTTTGAACCTTTGGAGAAAACTTTCTGCCCATTCATTTGGCATTTGACGCAGATTCGCCAAATCAGCCAAAGTGACTTCAGACTCAGTTTTATAAAACTGAGCGTGAAACAACTGTTCCAATTGTTGCCATGTTTGAATAGAGTTCGCTGGCAAGTTGATGAACCAGGAGAAAGCTACTCCTGTTAACGAACTAGGGAAAAGTCTCATTTTATGGTAATCGGTTACATCACCACTTTGCAACGTGAATCGTCCTATGTGTTCTAGAGTAGACACCTCTCCTAAACCGGTAAACAATGAGAATTCTGGCACTTTGTACCCTCTAGGCCATGGATATGCTTGGTCTACCCAATCAGGATATGGCTTTGTGTACGTCGGCCTAATGACAGGACGCACCCCAAAAGCCATCTGATCCTGCACGATTTCCATAATCTGGTTCCTCAACATGACATTGGGATCATATGAAATTCCTATAGGCTGATTAACCGGTTGATTTGTATGAGGTCTGATGTTTGGTCCTTGATTGGCAACAAAATTACCATAGTTAGGGTCATTACCATTAGCCCGGACATCTGTTCCCTCATTATCACGTGGAATATTCTGTCCATTGTTTAGGACATTATCTCTCACGTTTGGACTACCCCCAAGTTAGGCCTGCCATTACCATTGTTTTGATTTGGCACTGTAGTACCCCCTTGGTTTGAAGTAGAGGGACCAGAAAGCGGTTCTACCCCTTGATTCGGATTTAGGACAGAGGGATTATATCCCACAATTGTCCTGGTTTGACAGTGGTTCGTAAGAGGTATAGCCGGTTGACATATTTGGCCTACTAACTTATTCATTGTTTCATTTAACGTCTTTAGCTGTTTGGCCATATTATCATAGTGCGCATTTCCATTTTGTGTAAATCTTTCCATATTATGAATACTTCGAAGATTTACCTGTTCAACGACGTCTTGCGTGAGTTCTCCAAGCAATGCACGCATAGTTCGAGGACTCAACTCCGTCATTGGTTCGTAACGACTGTTACTGCTCTGATTTTGTCCATCTGTTCGTGGAGAGGCATGCTGCTCCTCATATCGCTCGATTACAGACTGGATTCCTCCCTGACTTGCTCCTTCCTTGTCGGATCTCTGAGATATATTGTTTCATCTTTTGTACTTTCAACACCTAACACCACTGTAGTGGCCATTTTATCATGAAAATTGCCTTTTAACTGCTGCCATTACCTTCCATCGTTCAACCGCTTTCGATTGAATTCCTTGAGTCGTGGAACGTGATAGGGCTGCTTTAACAACTGCCTTGATAACTGCATTTCTTGATAATCACGACGCGCTATGTATGTTGATACTTTGAGCGACTTGAAGGTTTGGGCGAGAATAGAATAACAGCTCTGGGCGACCTCATAACACTCTATTCGTTCAGATTCTGGGCGACTTGCAAACTTGGACGATGGCGTTACATCATTCTTGGGCCCCCTTATTTGGGCCTTCACCTTGATTTGTTCGATTGGATTTCGTTTTTTGGGCTATCTGATTTGGGGATCCTCCAATTGGACTTTACTCCTTGAACCGTTCGATTTGGGCTGAATTTTTATGTGTCAACAAAATCAATGAATTTTACTGAATTTTGCGACATTTAATAATTGAGCCAAATATTTATAAATTAGACTAATAAATGACTTATTTAGAGTCGCAAAATTTGAGTACATAAACATTTACAATGTCACATTTTCACAATCAATAAGAACAAAATACACGAATGCTACATAATTAAGCAATGAAAAATTAGAGGAAACGTGGCGTTGCTATCATTGGTGTCCATTCAATCACTTAAAGGGTCCCTTCCCACTCGACGATGATATAAAGATTCTTGATTCTAAAATACATAATGTAGTGAATTGGAGTATTAATATATCTTGCAAATTTCATTTGACAAGATTTAGCATTTTTCTATTAATTTTATTGTAAGATTTACGTTTTGCACCAACTATATATTAATAAATGTGAAAATTGTAGCAGCGATCCCTAACCTTTTCATTTTTTACAGACTTTATCCTAACTTTCATTTTGTGCTAGTGAAGGTCTCAAATATTTCATAAATATGCATATGAGATCCATCTAAATGGAAACCGTCCAAAACACCGTCAATTAATAGGAAAATTCCTTGAACTACATGTTACCGCTATGATTTTATTGAATGTTGATACCTTTTTGGACAGTATTTTGGACGATTTTATTGAATGTTAATTTCTTAATTTTTTCGGTTAACTGACGAGGTTTTAGATAGTTTCCATCCAGGTGGGTCTCAGGTGCATATTTATAAAAGATTAGGAACATTCGTTGACACAAAATGAAGATTAGGATAAAGTCTGCAAAAAATGAAAAGGTTAGGGACCGTTGTTGCAATTTTCTCTTAATAAATTAATAATTAGTTCCATTTGAAAATATAAATAAAATTACAATCTACAAAATAAAACAATTAAAAATCAACAAATTAAAAATCATTTTAGTCTAAAAATAAATCATTTCATTATAGCATCAAGAATTACGTACAATATGTGCACTAAATATTTTTTGATTAAAGACATGCATTAGTTATTGGTTTAACTAATTTTTCATTATTAGCATCAATGAATAAGAACCAACTCTAAATTCCAATAGGAATGAAATAAGAATTCAATTCTTCATTTCCCTTTTTCTCCCACTTGAACTATGAAACAAGAACTCGATTCTTTATTTCCCTTTTTTTCCTACTTGAACTTTGGAATGAGAATTGAAAAAAAGATTTTTTATTTTATTATTTTTTACTTATTACTTTATTCAATTTAATTTCTTTTATTTTAGTTAAAGGTATAAATAATTTTACTTTATATTTGTCGGCTTAAAGTTCATTAAAATTTGAGGTGTCATGTTGGAATTTCGGAAGAACTTAGTATTTATATTTATGGACTTGAAATTTACTAAAATTATTAAAATCCTTTCATTTAATGAAATCATAAATTCATAAGTTTTTAGTGATATTTAAATTTTAATAAAATCTATTATAATTTGATATAAGGATAAATTTTTTTAATAAAATCTATTTGAGGTGGGGACACCTAAATTTACTATTAAAACATCTCCTCTATAGAATCTCTCTCTCCAAATCCAAATTCTGAATAGTAAATTAGACTTTTAAATAAGCTGTCTTCTCCACATGTACAGTCATGAAGGTGGTGCAGGGTTAAGTGCTATTCACAACTTTCTGTTTTGTAAAAGATTAATCACATGAATCATAAAACTCTATGAATAAATTATATATTCTTGAATCTTTCTAAATTACTGTACTAATTACTGTATTATGCAGTATTCAATACTGTACCAATAACTTCAAAATGCTGCCTTCATTTTCTTCTGATAATTTTTCTGTTAGTAGCCTATGCAAAACCCTAATGATTTTAGCATTGCTTCTTTATTTGATCTTCAATTCCATTTCCAATCAATACCCCAACTGTCCATCTGCTGATTTCTTTCCTCTCCTCAAGAAAAGGGCAATTCCCGCAAAAGAATATTCAGAAGCAAATTCTATTGACTCTCCAACTAATATTAGCCACCTTGTTTTTGGAATTCTTGGTTCAGAACGAGCATGGCATCACAGAAAGGCATACATCGAATCATGGTGGCGACCAAACGTGACGCGGGGCTATGTATATTTAGATAACGCACCAACGGGAGACCTCGTTCCTTGGTCGAAAAATTCTCCACCTTATAAGGTCTCTGAGGACCTTACAAAGTTCCTTCGAGAAACTAGGACTCGTGCTCCAGTCATGATTCGAATGGTGCATGGAATAATGGAGGTGTTTAGACAGGAACATGGAAACCTCAGATGGTTAGTAATGGGAGACGATGATTCCATATTTTTTGTCGATAATATTGTTGGTGTTCTTGCAAAGTATGATCATACAAAGTATTACTACTTTGGTGGCCAGTCAGAGTTTGTAATGTCCAATTTTTGGTACTCATTTCACCAAGGTTTTGGGGGTGCTGGATTTATGTTGAGTTGCCCTTTAGCAAAAGCCCTTGCAATAGACATGGAAAATTGTCTAAGGAGATATGCACATTTGAAATCTGCTGATCAGATCGCAATGGCCTGCATTGCTGATATTGGGGTCAACTTGTCACCCCATAAAGGACTACACCAGGTAATGCATCTTCTTACGTACCTTTATTTTAGTTTTTGCGTTGAAGGCTAAATTGAAATAATTAAGCCCCTTGTTTAAGCCGCATTTTCTCTGAAGTTCATTTTTAACCGTACATTCTCCAAAAAAATTAGTATTCAAAATTACATTTTTTCTCCAAAATGGGGCTCAAACAAGGGGTAAATGTGTGCAAATTATTAAATGAGATAGTGTAGTACAATATCAAAACGAGCAATGTCAAATTTTGTTGCCACAGTGCTATGAAAAGTGTGCTTGTTGTAGGCCATAGGAAAAAAATTTATGTGTCTTGCGTTAATCTTGGCCACTTTACTGGCTTCATTATATACTCTTAGGAGTTGTTTTGACAAAACTTTTGATCACATATTCTGATAAAAATTAATGAAATGAGTGATTCAAAAGTTAATAAAAATTGTAAATTTTATAAAATGGGTAATTAAACTAGAAGTTTAACTTATTAAAAAGAATAAATTTTAACAAAATTTTATCAAATAAATACTTAATTAGATTAGATGGTTGTCATACATCAAATCCTTTTCAATTAGCAAACTTGTGAGAGTAAACAAGTATCAGCCAATGGTGCCTATTTTTTCTCGTGCGCACCATATGGACAAGAGTATACCAAAATGTAAATGGGATTATTTAAAGCATTGTTAAATTTTTTTAATGTAGATTATAACTTGCATGTCAATTAAGTTGGAGAAAAATCTGAATAATTATTGTATTATTGCAGATTGATTTGCGGGGTGATATATCTGGTTTCTTGTCGTCTCACCCAAAATCCCCTATACTGTCACTTCACCATTTTGACATGGTTGAACCAATATTTCCCTCCAAGGATCGTTTTGAATCCACGCGCCACCTCTTGAGGGCGGCGAACGTCGACCAATCACGAATGATGCAGCAAACCATATGCTATCACAGGGAAAGAAACTGGACCTTTTCAATTTCTTGGGGCTATTCTGTACATATATACCAGAGAATTATGCCTCGGAGTTATATACAGAACCCTATAGAAACATTTAAAGCATGGATAGAGAAACAACGTCCTCCATATTATATGTTCAATACAAGGTTGCCCTCCAATGATCCATGTGAAGCTCCTCGTGTTTTCTTCTTCGAATCGATAGAAAAAACACCACGGAATGAGATATTTACAAGTTATTCTCGTGCATCACGACGAGGTCTTCCTGCTTGTTCATCGAATGGAAACCATACTGCAGATTTTATCTCAAAAATCGGAGTCATTTCTCCAGCTTCAAAGCGCAAAGAGGTAATTGAACACAAGTTTACTATTCACTAAATTTCAAAATAATGTGCAAAATTATGTCTAATGTTGTGTTTTTCTCTCTCAGATGGATAGATGTGAATGTTGTGACATTGTCAACTTGGATGGAACGAAGGTAAATGTCAAATTTAGAGAGTGTATGATGGACGAGATTATAGCCTAAATAAATAGCAACATTACTTTTGCTTGACAAAACCTTTAAAATGTTTAAAGATGTATAATTGAGGAAGAAAAATAGGTGACAATTTATCAATTATTCAATCTTTGTCTCGTCTCCAATGTACAAAACATAGTGACCGTAGTCGAGAAATACAAATGGATTTCAACCTTTGGTACCCGCCTTTTGGGACCCATAATTTTCAAACATTAAATAAATATCGGAAACCACCGATCACAAGAAAATAAACATGGCCTAAAGTTTACCATAATCGTGCTTTATAGCACGTTCTCTTGGAGGAAATCCCATAATGTTTTTTTCACGAGGAATATCACTGTAATGGCCCGAAATCACATGAAAGGGACCTTACATAAAGCTCAGACAGTATGGGAGAGGTAGTCTACGTGGAATAATATACTAGAAAATCTTAAGAATTACGCACAACATCTTCAATATCTCCTTTAATTCGTCCATCCTTGACGAGAATAGTTCATTTTAGTCAATATGAAAGCATTTCTAACGACTTATGAGTGTGCACAAGTGTGATACATTTATGTTCTCATGAAAAGAATGAATGCTTCTCGTTGAGTCGAGGGAAGTCATGCAGTTTCTTTAGGTATACATTTTTGTACAAATATTCAAGTGTATTACAGTGCTGTGTACTGGTTCTTCTGGAAAACCAAGTCTATCCATTTACTAAGCAATTAAAATCTCCAGGCTACAAAGAAAATGTGCTAAAATCAACGCAAATTAACTGTTTCACCATTAATAATTTCAACACACCAACCATATAAATATTTGAAAATCTTAAATAACTGTATAACTGCGATAAACTTGATTAATCCCAAGTAAATGACTTCTATAAGATGTCGACTAATGGGAAAACCCGCATTTACATCATGGCCTCAGCATGAAGCAGAAGTTCCCACTTCTGATTCTACATCATGATCCTTTTGAATTCCTATCCAACGGCATAATCAACCCACCTGCAAAACGTTTAAAGAGTTTATAAAATCATGCAATAATAACACTATAAGAGAAGTGCACAGGGAAAAGGCTAAAAATCTCACAGTAAGGAGCCTAAGAACGTGTTGCCAGTTCGCACGGCAAAGCAAATTGCACTCAAGAATAACTTGTGTCTATGCAGAAAAGGCTCAACATCCTTTGTTCAATCACGCCAGCCAAAACCTGATATCTGTTGGATATAGGGAAAATATTAGCAGAAAGTTGGCATCGAAGATGACTTTGTTTTATATAAACGCAGATATAATCCAAGGAGATAACTTCAAACTCCCCGCATCTTGTATTTAGATGCTCAAAAGTTTGCGTACACACGACTAAATATGAGACTTGCCAAGATAGGTTACAGCATGGATATTCTAGAATTGTAGAAAATTCTGGAAGTTTCATAAAGATTGGGAGATAGTTTTTTGTATATTTTGGCAAACTTCAAGTGTGAGCATCAATCCCCAAAGGAAAGGTCGAGCTCACTCCAACTGTCAAGTCAGAACCAATTGAAAGCATGTGACAGAAAAGAGTGACATGATGTAGGTGTTTCGTTTGATGGATTTTTTTCAAATGATGTGTAATTCTCTCTCTCATTTTTTTTCCATTTTTGGTTAACCTCTTGAACCTGTCCTTTTTCAAGAGAGGAAGCCCTTAACTAACATGATCAACATGCCACGAAGTTGGGGAAATCTTTGCCATTCCTTACTAGATTGGGTCTCCCTGCTGCACACGATTAGGTAAGAAGAGCTTGTAACTTCCAAGCAGGTTTGCATGCTGTTCGGAAATGGTTTATAAAATAGGCAAGAAGTAGAATAAGCCGAAAATGTAAAAGCTGATAATACATGCTTAATTATAGGAAAAAGATGCCACAAAAAAGTAATGTTCGTCTTACACATACCGAAGGTTGCTTGATACTGCCATATATACACCGTAGGCAACACTTGTTGACAGAACAGGAACATTCTCCACCTCATCTCCAGCAGTGTGGTCAACAGCCTTACCAGCATTTATCACGACCGTGCCAACCTAGAGATGAATAAATAAATAAATGTCATGTTCCTTATATCTGACTCCATGGTTTATCTGGTTTATAAATATAACATGGAGTGGACAAAATCTGCAAAACATTGAATAAACATATAAGAAGACTTGTTTACCACTCATCGTAGATAGGAGCTAGAAACAGATGGATTTTACTCATTCGTTTTCTTTAAGGGGGCTGGGGGAAGATAGGATTGTAATTGTTGGGAAGAATCAAATTGAAGATTTTTTTGTCACCAAAGACTTTGATTCTGCAGTTGAATCTAAAATAATCCAATCATGTGAAATAACCATTAAAAAAATAATAATAAAAATAAAAAAATTGAGAGAGAACATCTTATCTCATTGTCCTCATATGAAAAAAAAA